ATTTATTCTGGCTTTTAGTGAGTTGCTTAGGACTCTTTCTTCTGTGTTCAGTTTTCTTCACTCCCATGATTTACTACACACAAGTGGCTTATCTCATAAAATTTATACAGTGTTTTGTGGACTGAAGCCAGTACGTTCTGCATCTTCAAAGACTAAGCCCCCTTATTGACATTTTTATTTTTTTTTTCTTCAAATAGAAAATAAAGATACATCGGTCACCTCTAATTTGACCTATTAGCTACAATGATCCTCAGGTTTATTTTTATCAAAACATTAAGAGCTAATGAAAAATTAACAGAAACCCATAAATAACTTCACCTAATTATAACTTACAGATTTTGATCAACTCTGCTTTCATTAAGAAACTACTGAATAATTTATTTAACTACTGAGCTACTGAAATTGCTGAAATTCTAATGACTGTAAGAAAGAACTCACAGAATGACAGAATTGCCACAAATAAAAGCTATGTTGATTCTTATTGATGTATGCCTCACTGTAATAAAGAGCTAACCAGTGCCATTTAAAGCTTTGATTTCAATCTATATGGTAGCCATAGCATATACCAACTATCTCTGCAACTGTTACTGCATTGTATGCAATATTTTCTCATCAAACGACCAAATCACAATTCCTTTCCATCTTTCCAAATAATTTCTAAAACAGAGTATGTTGAACTGTAGCAGAATTAGACTCTGCATTTAGCAAAATAGAAGGAGTGCATCTACCTTAACTCATGCATGGATTTTATGATTCTGAACAATAACCGCTTAGTAAGTGTAACGTATTTTTCACCCCTTTATTTTCATCAGCTTTGATTCACTATTTTGTCATTGGTTATACTTTCAGTTTTTCTGAATAGTGATGGTTGCTTAGGCCATCGAGGCCATTTTTGTCTGTGGTCTCAGATTTCAGTGCATCCTGCACATGAATGCATTAAAACAAATGAAAATGCTTCTTTGATAAGATATTGATATCTAATAGATCTTGAATATGAGTGTGTTGAACTTGGCTCATATTATCATTTGCACCCCCGCATTACTGTATTACCTTAAGCCACTTGAGCCATCACTCCAATCGGTTCTCTATTTTCCCATCTGTAAAATAGGATCAGCAGTTCTGAAATGCTTTCTGATGTGCTTTGAAGCTTGTAGACAGAAAACAGAGCAAACCATGCTATGAATTTTTTGAAAAACATCATGGTGGCCAGAACAACACATCTGTACATTTATAGGAAGTGAAAGTTGCTGCATAGCCCTGCGCTTATTATGTCTCTGTCATCTTCCAAAAGTGTTAAGCACAGCTGGAAGAATTCCCAACAGATGCTTCCTTTTACTTATTTTCTTATTTTTCCTTTTACACTCTTCACAAGTGTTCTTGTCAAATACTTTATTTGACAATTTTTTTCTGAAATAATTTATTGTTTATTATATTATACTAACACTACTTTATTCCTTGCCAGGTATAGGCAACAATTTAGTAAATAAATTTTAGTCCACACATCTGATTTATTAGTGTCCTGATTCTCAGGCTCATTGGTATGAAAATTTGTTTTCAGTTCCTCAGCCTGCCCATGGGTTGAGCCATGCCCCTGTAAAGGAAAAAAAAAAAAAAAAAAAAAAAAAAAAGCAAAGAGGCTACTGCCTCTTAGATTGCTTTCTAGTGGTAGCAGTGTTGGTTGGCTTCTTGATGGTAATAGGTGGTTACCATTTAAGATTGGCAAGATTTCTTTGAATCTTACTTAACCTTTCCAAAATATTTAACCTAGTTTCCTTCAGTGTTATGTGGAATATCTGATAGATCTTTTAAAAAAAATAAAAAAGTCACAAATCCAGAATGTTTTGTCACATCCAAAAACACACAGAAAAAGTAAGAAAACGAGAGCTTTATCATGCTCTGTAGGCAAGCTCTGTAAGAAGTATCAAGGGATAGAAGTTTAGATGTTGGAGATAAATGAGACTCATAAGTGAACTGACTTCATTGTTTAGTATTTTAATTGTTGGTGGTTTTTTGTTTGTTTGTTTGTTTGTTTGTTTGTTTCAGAAAAGATTGAGAGAGGGAGTACACTTATCTATTTACTTAACTATATCTGTTATCTATTTAAACAGGGCTTTTATTTTTCACTACTTCCATTTTACAGCTATCACATCTTCAATCCTTATTTTTCTTGCATGCCTTTTTGTTACATAGCACATTTTATAGATCAAAGATTATTATTGTTTTTATAGAGAAGTGTTGCTGTTTAAAATCTTTCTTTATATGGGCAACAACATCATTATAACAAAGTACTTAATATTGGTGCAATTTTGAGAGGCTTCCAAATATCAGTGTTTGGAATTAACTCCTTCAAGAGTTGAAAACTGTAGCAGTTTGAGTAGCAGATTTTATCATTGGAACGACAATCTTTATTTATGTTTAAATCAATATGTTTTTTCTTTATTTTTGTATTTCTGTTTCTATTATTTTGTTTCTTGACAGAAAGAAAAATATACATATGAGCATTCTGTCTACCTATACGTTGTACTGATTGTGTTTTTTTTTTATAGTTCTCTATCATTTCATGAATGCTTCAGATTTTTACCAAACCCAATAAAGGTGGATGATATAAGTAGACATTTCAACAGCACTGAGTCCTATCTAGTGGTGGTGACAAACACTGCTGATAACCTGTCAGTTTTCAGTTTATGAATTTTTTAATATTATCTGCTTTTCTTTACACGTGAAGTGTTTAGGCTGTGTTTCTATAACACTAGATCTATATGCTAATGGGTCATGTAGAAATACAAGTCTGAGCCACATCAGCTGTGGATGTAAGATCACATTTTAGCTGAACAAGGCAGAGCAGATTCAGTGTTGATTTGGTTTGTGCTGGGTGCAGAAGGAGACATGATATTTTATTCTTCATAGCAGTAGAGGGGTGCCAGCAATTCTTACATGAGCTGGCATAAAGACTGCAGGTACAAAATTAACCTGTCAAAACTTAAGCAAATTTTAACAGGCACAGTGAAGTTTGTTTGAAGCTTTGTGTCATGTAAGCTTGGAATATTTTTGTATAGTATTACAGCAGTAACACCCAATATACTAATCAATGAACCACGGACATTATAGCAAGATTGAAACATACTGTCTTAGAATGCATTGCTTTTTTGTAGTTTAAAATTTATCTTTCAATCCTTCTTGCAGAAGATTAATTACAGTGTTCTCATATGCTTGTTAAGTTTCTGTATCTTGTATTCTAATCTTTTTGTTGTGAAAGATTAAAAACTGATCATCTTTATTTTCTGCTATTCTTATTCTATAAACATATATTGTTTATATGGCAACAAAAGTGTGCTAGATCCTTTTCTGTCTACTTTTTGTTATGATTGGTACATATGAATCTATTCGTATTGTAATACACATAAAACACTATGTTCAATGTAAAACATTATGTTCTTTTTTTTTTTTTTTTACTGATACTTCTGGAACAAGATTTGTTTGTTTTGCCAGTATTTCTTCCATTGAAAACATTGCTACTATATAAAAATTATATCCTTTACCCTCTAACTTAAAAAGAGGGATTTTACTGTTGAAAAATCAAGCACATTATATGAAAAAAAATATATATATATATACTTTTGCACCTGAGCCCTTTAATCAGCCCCCACTGTTCATTCAGTTTCTTCCCTGAAGAAGAGAGGATTTCTTTGGGGGAAATATTATGTGGTCATGTAATTACAGGTTAATAAGAGGCTGGAATCAAGGCAATATGAGCAGCCACATGTTTGGCATTGCCCAGACCACTTTCCAGTCTTGCTAAACATCCATCTGAACAGCAAAGATGCCATTTCTTGGGCTTTGAGAATGAAATTCACTCCTTTTGCTCATGCTTCATTCTCCATGCCACAAAATTACCATTTAGTACAATTCTTATTGCTTCTCCATCACTGCACATGGCATATAGTGCCCAAAGACGTGAAAAATAGCCTGTGGAAAACAGGCCTGTGGCAACATCAGTGATGCTGGTTCTGGAGGCTATGCTTGCACTTCACAGAGCAGGCAACCTCGACAGTGCCTTTCTTTGGAAACCACAGCAAGGAAGAGTACATACTCAGTTCTTGACTAAAGGCTCAGGATGTGTACAAGATGTGCATCTGAACGTGGGAGCTTAGATGTACTTCTCAGTTTCACTGTCCATGTGTAGTCTCAGGAACCTCACTGACTAAACATTGACCGGGAAACAGACTCATGTATTCTCACATGGCTCAGCCTTCCAATTGACTGAGGCATGCATTACATGACCTTGTATTTTAAAAGATTTGAAGTGATCCAGATGCACTGTGTACTAACTACTTGTACTTGCTGACTACTACTGGATTTTTGTGGCTGTCAGGTGGATTGAGAAGTCATCACTCCAAACACATAAAATCCTTTCAGAGTTCAGAAGCCACATGTCCTTTGGCTATAATATCACTATAAATGATGAACTAACTGAGGTGTTTTTGTGATTTACCTGGGATGTTCTGCTAAGAATATCTGTTTGTTGAAATAAATGGTTTAGATGATACAGTTGTTCTCCTTAAAGGTGTGTAGGGATACACCGGTGCCAAAAAAGCAGGTTTGTAACAGATGTTAATGATAGATCCTAGGTCCCTGATTTTATCCCTGCAGTTACAGATGGCTATGTTTTTCTTTCCTTCCTGTATTGTAGTGATACGCCATGCTGTGCATAGTAAAAATGGCTGTCACTTTCCACTGGGGCTTTAGACAAGGAGACATTTTTAACATCCTTATAGAACCTTCAAGACACATACTGATTATGATTATTTATTGATTTATTTTAAAATTAATGTAGTCTGTTTTTAATTTTAATCATATATGATACCCTTTTAAAGGCAGTGTTTGAATAATAGGAACAGAATGATTTAATTAAAAAAAAAAAAAAAGAAAAAGAAAAAGAAGAAAAAAAAAAGAAAAAGAAGAAAAACTAAAAAAAAATAAAAGCTTTTGTCTTCATCCAACTTCATCCAAGCTGATTCATGGCTTACTACCTACAGACCTGTAAATATACTTACATATATGCTTAAATACTATTCAGTGTGATAAGGGAAACTAAATCTATCCTCAGATTAACTACAGGAATTGGTAAATCATCTTAAATTTAATGAAAATATTCTCAAAATCATGTTTTAAAATACAGTATCTTAAATATACACGATGTGAACATTTCAGTTGATTCATGTGTTATAAGAACCAGCTGAAGTTCATGATGTAACCATGTTAACACTTTTTAATAGCTTTTTGAGAACACAACACAATTGTGTTAATGATAATCAGTTAAAGACTCTATTTGTTCCAGATGTTACTTTCCTAAGGGGAAGAAAGAAAAAGAAAAAAAAAAAAAGATTAAATAAAAGAAAAAGAATTTCTTCTGTGTCCCTGTTTAATATCAGCTACCCAAAAAGTCCCAATGTAAACCTAATCTCTTTTTTTAGATAACATACTAGTAAGCCATAGCTTGATTTGAATAAGTGAATAGAATTGTGAAAGAAACAGAGATGCCTAGAAAAGCATTTTCTTTTTTCTGGCATGGGTCTTTAGTTCCCAGTGGCCTACAGTCCCACACCACAAAATCACTATAATTGGCATGGCTGGCAACTTATTCTCTCATTGTCAAACAGATCCTTTACAGTAAATTTGTAGGAACTCTGAAGTTGAGTTAATACCAAAAGCATAAAAAGGAAAAAAGAAAGCAAGCCACACACAGATTCAAGTGTACCATCACATAGTGATTTTTGATAAAGCATAAAATTAAGTGACCTATATTAACAACAAAAATATTTGTTAGTTGCTTATATTTAAGAGGTTTCTCCAAGAGAAACTTAATATTCAGTGCCTCACTGCCAACATGGGTATGTTTTACTAGACTTACGTTAGATAGACATGTCCCAACTTGTTCAAAATGTTAAATAACTGCACATTGGTTATAACTTCAGGAAAGAAATCAAGGTTTTGCAAGGTGATGAAACATGATTTATACTTATATATATGTGTGTGTGTGTGTATATATGTGCATGTGTTATAGTAGTAGCTAGGAATTATTTTCAATCATTACAATAGGCTGGAGGAAATACCTTTTTCTTGGACTTTACCTCCCTTCATGGTCTAGGAAAAGTTATGATGGCCCAGAAGCTCTCCTGCACTAAAGCAAGCTCAAAAAACGAAGAAAGTTATTAATGCATCCTAGATTTCTACAGTTATGTAGCTCCTCTAAAATGTTCCAGAGAATCTCTCCAGTAAGGATAGCTCAGGGAGGGGACATGTACAAGGCTGCAGTGGCTATCACATGATTCTCAATCATTCATGTTCACAGGATGTCCTTGGGATACAGTCTCTTGTAACATCTCTTGTAAGGATACTTGCTCTCCTCTTTGCTCTACATGTATATCACTCTCTAATGGTCTGTCATGCTGCCTTTTGTTAGAGAGCCTTCTCAGTGCTTCCCTTCAACATTGTCATTGATTTTTCTGTGACTACATGATAGGAAAGGAGCAAGGGAGGAAGCAGGATGCTCCAAGGAAGGAGGTGAACCTACTGCCCAGAGACAAAGAAACACCATTCTGCCTTCTGCATGTATGGTCACTGGATCTTGAGTACTGTGTCCCTATGGCCAGTGCTCATTCTAGTCTTAGCTTCTCTTTGCCGCACCAAGATTATATCTGGGTAACTGGGTAACAGCATTTACTCAGTTCTGCCCAACTGTGTCTTGGTCATTCTGGGCATTCATTGTGAGCATCCTTTGTAATATTATACAATGAGACTGCAAGGAATTTAGCTCCAGGGAATGGCTGCCCTCATTCTGTTGAGTTTTCCTCTGGTTCACTTAAAGCACAGAGGCATTGCCTATGAAGCAGGTGGATTGGCCATGTGGAGAGAGCTATAAGGATCATTCAGAACTATGGAGTTCTTGAAAAAGCCTGTCAGGAGAGCGTGGACTGCCACTCTTTATTCCAACCCAGTGAAGATCTTGATCTTGGTAGACACAAAATAAGGGAAGTTTAGCATCTTTATCAACATATATTGGTCATGAAAACAAAATAATAGATTATCTTCATAAACAGCAAAAACAGGTTTTGTAGTTAAGTGTAAAAGTAATTTCTGTTTTCCAATTTAAGCAGATTGTATTAGACTTACAGGAAGAGAGGGAGGCTTAAAAAGTAGTGAACCCTTCATGACAGATCTTATGACAGATTTTTTTTTCCTCTGTTGTAAAACTAGAAAACTACCAATAACCAGAAGGTGTTTATAGTCAGAATCTACACAAAAAGGCTATCCATATTAATTTCATTCAGATTAGATATTGAACTTTTTATGGAAATAGTGCCCTTCAAGGGCTACCTTGTTTGGATGCTTTCACAGTGTTAATGACTTTTTGCAAGTTGATGAGGGAATAATAGAAAATTGAATATGGGTGAGATAATGATAAGGGTTTTCAAAACATGTAAGAAAAAAAAAATGTCCAATAAGAGCATCATGTGCTTCTGGAAGAACAATAGATGAAGAGTGAGTGACTTCTCAATTGTACAGGTTGTTGACTTCTCCACTGTGTGTTCATTAAAAAATGCCCAACATCATGGTTTCTATATCCTACTGCAAATACATCCTGCCTTACATAAACAACAACAAAACAACAAATGAACAAACAAACAAGCAAAAAGCAACAACAAACTCAGGAGTCAAGGAAGAGTTACTTCTCCATGTCTGTAAGTCACCCTTTGGGAAACCTGTACCTAGCAATTACTTTACTGTTCAGTGTTGAGGATGTTCTGGATGCCTCCCCCTCTTCTTGGTCAGGTGGGTAAAATCACTCGCCCGGACTCCCCATTTTTTTTATATATAGAACTACAGCAAACAGGTGAGCTAACTGGATGGGTGCAGCCGAGTGCTTAATCATATTAACAGTCTATACTGACTATTTACTTTTTCTGAATGGTGATCTTATCTGCCAAGACTGCCCTTGTGGCTTGGTGGGAAGAGGAATGTGGCTATATAGGTAGGAGTGATGTTCCACTGTCATTATCTGCAAAGGCATCCTCAGGATAGACCTTGGTATCTGCCTCATTGCATTTCTCCTCCCAGGGAATGATGAAGTCCACTTGCTCATGCTTATCTCTGAGGACCTGATTATGCCCTTCTCCCTGTTGTGAATGTGTTGTATCCAAAGGATAAATGCCTGCCTTATGAGTTTGGTCTGTTCAGCAGGGTTTCTGAAGGGCTATATCTTGTATAGCAGCAAGGGTGTTTAGGCAGTCTGATACGACATTGTAACGGGACCAACTAGCCTTTGTGATTTGATGCTTTTGGAATAAAGGCTGGAGAGCAGAATATCTTAGCTGTGTAAGGAACTCAGAGTATGCTGGAGGACAGCTCTCAGTTTGACATAAAGGAGATTCAAAGTGCCAGACAATGTGGGCAGTCGGAGAATTTGGTCTTGAGTGTGCTGCTGAAACTCCAACAAGACAAACTGTAACTGCAACACAGCAGTTGACTCGACTCGTTCTGGCCGTAGCCCTGGCATGGCTGTTTTAACGTGTGCCAAGCTGATTATAGTCTGCAGGAGACTATGTGCCAATTGAGAATTGCTGGAAGGCAGGCCAACATCAAAACAGTTAGAGGGTAAACTGCTTGTTGACTTTGTGAGTGACTTCTGGGAAGACGGGCAGCCTCTGGCAGCCTCTGAAATTGTTGAGAATGGAAGGAAGTAGTGTCCTCTCAGAAATGCAGTTTGGGGTGGTTATGAGAAAAATAACCCTTGTTTCTCTTTGAGAAGAGAGTTGTGGGAAAGATAGAGTGAGTTCATAGACTTGCTGTGGGGGAAGGGAATGAAGAAACTTGCTGGTTTAGTTAGGAAATGAGTTAGTTTTTCCTTGCTCACTCCAGTTCCATCCAGAGGATTGGGGCCCTATATGAGCCAATGAAGTCAGGGTGGTTTGGAATAGATTGTGCTTCCTTGGCTACAACTAGATAAGCCAAGAAGGGAAGGTTTTTATGTCCACAAATTTAGTAAAAATGGGCACATATCATGCAGATACCCTTTGACTTAATTCTTTCTGCAGGTAGTAGGTTGACCAACGCACCTCATTTGTTCATTGCCAGTCTTCTTAATAGGGTATGAAATTCATAAGCTCTAGCTGTATTTCTTGGCCTCATTCTGTGCTTAAAAGTGTTACAGATGAAGCAGGAGGTGATAGGTAAACTTGTGGCATTTAAATCCAGGCACTTATTCAATATGAAATGTACTTTGTTCATTAAATCAATCTCTCTCTGAGTATTTTTCCTTCTGCCCTCAATTCTCGGTATCACTACAACTAAAAGTTGTAGTGTCTGCATGTTTTTAAAATAAATAGAAAAATCCTTGATGGTGCTGGACTAGATGTTCCTGATAACATGTTGCCAACAGAAAAGTTCTCATCCTTGAAGAAAGTTTTTCAAGTGGTCATGACACTCTCAATCATGTAAGCTTCTCTTCAGAACAGACATTCGGTGCCCTCAAATGACTCTTCAGACTTGGCTTAGAAACAGGCTGACACAAAAGGGGCTAATTAACACACACATTTTCATGTGGAGGAATCTGTTTCCAAACAGATTTTTACCAGCAATATAGCTGACGAGCTGAATCTGCTAGGGCTGTTTCTTCCGTCCAATTTGAATGAAAATGGAAACAAGGGATAGGAGAGACATTTCATTCCAGTGATGATACAGACATGATGAATTCCTCTGAGCTGAACTTATGTCATGTTAAATTTCTTCTTAAACAAACCAAGGCATAAATTATTAGATGAAACAATTTAAAATATAGATGAATGTTGCATGTGCTACGTACATTGTCACAGAAAATGTCTTAGATATTCTTTCTAGAGAAGAGGCAGAAAGGTGGCCCTGCATTATATCACTGGCTTAGAATCATGAAGGCAACAAAAAAATTTCATTTCTGCCATAGACTTCGTATCTGTAGACTTCATTCTGTATAGACTTCACATTCTTCTGTTTCACATCATAATAGTGATTGCAGTAGTACAGCCCTGCTCTGCACAGAGGCTTACGGCAGCATGCACACCTGTCCTGGCAATATTGAAAGAACAGTGAGACAAAAGTGGTGAATTTGGTAGAATACAGAAATCAAATACCAGTGCCTCCACCCTCTCTCACCCCCCACATGTTGTTTAGGAGCTGTCATCTCTAACTTGCAGGGACTCAGGTTCTCCTACTTACTTTCAGATGTTCCCTGTCCTTCTGGGATTGATTCTGAACCAATCACTATTTTACTGTCATCATTATGGGAAATTATATATGCCTCTCTTCCCACCATAGCAACAACTACCAAGTGTTAATAGCTAATTGCTCCAGACTAATCCACTGCAAACACCCTTGTATCTGGCTGGGTATTGTAGTGGCTGTTAGTAAAGGGCTCTGAAGATAAGAACAGATTTTCACATGTTTTAGTGCATCACAAGGAGTCCATTGTAACATTGTGCCCTTTGGATTAGCATTAGAGAAATGTTGGTGGGTTTTTGTGGTTGTTTTTTTTTTTTTTTTCAGTTTTTTTTTCAGTTTATCAAAGGAAAATTAAAGTTCCTTAGACATCAGTTACATTACATCTGAGCTTTTAATCATACTGACAAGAACAGATAAAGAATTTGAGCTGAAGAATGTTTTTACAGACTTAATGTTGGATTGCTGGTATTTAACTCTGGGTAAGCTACTGATTTTTAAAGGGGAGAGTTTTATCTCACCAAAGATATATACTTCTGTATCATTTCAGTTTAAAATATTCTATCCCATCTATATCTATATATTCACCCCATATGGCAGACTGGATTTTTTTTTTTCTCTAATTCCAAAGACTATTAAACAATTTTCTAGAAATGGCTCATTCAGAAATCAGCTTGTTTTGCATCCATCAACACAAGAAACTCAAACACAGGTTTAGGGGAGAAAAAAAATGCTAGGTTCTCAGTTACATTGCCTGGGTAGTCTTATTCCATATGGAACTCTACTTGCAGCATTACCAAATATTAACATATTGAAACCTATTATGAATGGGTACTGGACCAACTCCCAGAAAAACCCTTAAGAAAGTCTTAATGAAAAAAATGCCAAATGTGAAGCTTCTCTATATGAAAATAAGAAAATGCTAGGTAAAAATAATATGCATACAAAAGTCAATCTCATTTGTAAGTAAATTATTGTACAGTTATTTGGGATTATAGGCTTTTCCACATCTGACCAATAGAAAAATGAACAAGCAAGTTAAAGGTCTAGAAAAAAGCATGCTGGACAAACAGCTGGTGGTAATTATAAGACTATGGCAAGCTATCAACAGTGTAGATGTTACTTTCAGTTTGGAGCCAAAGGGACAGGAGGCAGTTAAAAAAATGCTCTGCAGAGAAGGAGTAGGAAATAGCTGTGAATATACTAACTTAAAGGGCCACCTTAAAAACAGAATTAGGAATAAGTAAAGAGCATACAAGGAATAGAAAATATATACATCCAAAAAAAAAAAAAGCACATTCTTAGAGGCAGAAGTATAGGAATAGATTGAGAGTTGTCCAAAGCCAAGATTTATCTGATATTACTAAAAACAAAACAAAACAAAACAAAAACAAGCAACCACCACCAACAACAAAACAACAACAACAACAACAACAACAACAACAACAAAAACGCAACACTTACCAAATTCTTATCTACCTCTTCTCTTTTACTGTTCCTATAGTGGTCTTGTTGAAACTTTTTTCTTTCTTGCCATGTCATCTTCTCTTTTCTCCTCTTCAATTTGCAGTGCAGCAAATACTTTGGTAACTGACTGTAGTTCTCCTGTGATTTGTGTTCTTTTTTTTTTTTTTTTTTTCTGACTACTGTGTACTGCCATGCATTGTCAGCTTCCTTGCCTTCTTTAAGATAAATTCTTCTTTTCATTGCTGTACTAACTGCAACAAGCTGGAGTATTTGAGATGGTGAATTTCAGGTGTAAATTGGTATACAAAAGCTTTTCCTTGGAAATGACTTGCTTCTAATTAAACAATACTTTGTCCAATCATTGAAAGCCATAGGTGACATCTTGTGCCAGCAAAAGTATTCAGAATTAATATTAAGAGTCTAAAAGCCCAAAGCCCAATGGAATATAGATCTGTATGTCATGGCCACTGAAGAAGTGATAACTGAAATACTGAGATGTATCAGTGGTATAATTAGCCTAGGAAGAAGGACAGTAAGGATTGTACTTTTATGCTGCTTTAAAATATTGCAGTACAGTACTTCAAAAATAACATGAAAGAAAAACTCAGAACAAACATGACTGGTTCTTTATATAACAGCATAGGTATTCACTGGAAGTCTAACATTTATGTTTTTTGAACAGGCTCATCCACTTGATATTTCTCATGGTCTTTACTCAACAGAATATTTTTATAGTCAGTAAACAGATATCATTAAATAGCTGTCAGGACTGGAATTACTCATCTTTAAGTTTCCATCCAACTTTTGGTCCAATGATGTAAGATGTAGTAAGTGTAGGAAGAGATTTAAGTAGTTTGCTCTTTCAGGAAGAATATTTTTTTAATGTGTGAACTCTTAAAAATGTAAGCAAGAGTGACCAGTCCTAGGCCCTGGAGGATCTATAAGATGACTGTTGTTCCCTCATTCAGAACCAAAGAAAATGATAGTGAGAGAAGGCCAATACTCATCTGTACAAGAAAAGGGGAAGGACAATGAAAGAGACTACAACCTGTCACTAAGTCTCATCTTAAGCAGCTGATGCAAAGAGACTTGTAGCTCCCCAGTTTAGTTACAATGTGAAAAATAAACTTGTATTTTAGTTGAATTTGGACTTGCAGAATTTCTGATATGCCCTATACTGTCAAACTAGTTGTTTATTTTTTTCCCACTTTTTAAAAATGATTACCTGTTTAGTTTACACAGTACAATTTTTGCCTATTGGAACCACTGGTTCCAAAACCAGTCTCTGAAATTTCACAGCTCTGAAATTTCAGTTTATGATTTGAACAACAGAAGAAGGCATCGGCTATAAATGTGAATATTTTTAGCATAACATCTTACTGAAAATCCTATACAAACACTACAAAAGCTTTTAACAATTAATCTTGTAGACTGATGAAAGAAAATGTTAAGACATGGGGAAAAAAAAAAAAAAAAAAAAAGACTGTTTAACTTTTTCTGTTGTATACTGAGCATGTAAGTACTCCTCTGTTTGGGAGGTGTCAAGTTTAGCATGCTATCTAACCACAGACCTTTATAGTGGTTTAGGTCTAAATTTGACCCAAGTGCATGTTTAGCCAGATGTCATTTGCGATTACTGGAATTTGAACTGACTTTCAGATAAACCACAAACCTGGATGAATGAATGTTGTTCCAGATGCATTATCTCCTAATCCTAAAGAAAATAAGATTTCAGATGAAAGGACTATAGAACTTTTCTTTGTATGAGCTTTAAAAGCTAAGGCTAATCCTGAGATCATTGAAAAGCTTTAACTTACCACTGTGTGAAATTTTAGCCAAACAGAACTTAAGAGCCTTAATACCTTTAGAATCGCCTCAAATTAGCAAAATAATATTCAAAATTAATTGAATTGGTTCAATGAACTTGAAACCTAAAAAATGTTCTCGCCTTAAAACACTTTAATAAACTACTATGAGGTTTTTAGCTTGTGTTGCTCTAGCAACATCTTGATAATATGGAATATTCTTCATCATGGGGAACACTACATATTGTGTTATCTAGAAAGATCACAGAGATACTACAATTCAATAAAACCTCTACATAAAGACTTTTACTGAATGTCTGGAGGAAAAGGAACTGGAAGAAAGAGAGTGAATGTTTTAGGAATTTTATCTTATCTCCAGTCAATTAGCAGTAAATAAATAAATAGTACAGTTATGAGTATATGTGTATTGCATGAGTGTTGCTGCCCCTTAGACTTCTGTGCTGCAGAAGGCAGTCTAAGCTACCTGGTTAGTTCACAGAATCACAGAATTTACCAACTTGTAGCTCCTTAGAGAGTGTGGGTGACACACAGTATCCCAGATGACACAAAAATAGAACAGCAGCGAAAGCCTTGTATCTTCTGTACAGCTGAAGATCCACTACTGTTAATGCATTCCTATTATCTTTGATTCCAGATCAGGTTACAGTGTATTAACATGCTATCATCTGTCAGCTGAGCTGTGGCAAATGTAAGTGGGTCTTCTTAGGCTGTAGCATGAGCAATAATGTGTCTCAGTTGAAGTTGTTTTCTTTGTGGACTAAGTGAATTCACTGTACCCTCTCTTTGTTTTTAAGTGTGAACAGGCAGAGAAGACTGCATGTTGTCTGATAATTTGTCAAGCAAGTCGATTGTTTATCTGAGTCCTTATTTAGAGATATCCTAGGCATTCTAAAATATTTTATGCCTGGTAGAGTTTATGAAGCAAGCTGATTTCTGTGCAGATACAGTAATTCACAAAAAATATGCCATTTTTCTTAATGGTAGGGCATTTTAATAGATTGCTGGGATCAAAACAAGAGAAAAGAATATATATCTGCCTAAAAGAGCATGAGGAGTGTTGGTTTCCCTAGTATCACCAATGTGATTAATGTTTTTTCAACTCCAGTTGTGAAAGCAGACATAGAATGAACAGTTTTAGAGGTATGGGAAACAGTGACATGGGATAAGTATGCAAGAACTGAAAATCAGTTGTGCTGAAGACATTACTGCTAATATCTTAGAAAAATATTTGGCTCTTCTCATGGTACATGTGTCTTTGAGATGTCTGTATTAGCCAAATGATGAAGAATTAGCCAGCCTACTATAGTTAGCTAATTTGTACAGGTTTGTGTCAAAAAATAATGATATTGTTTTCTTTTGGGAATTTGACACCATGTTATAGATATTTTAGAGTGTATGAATGAACTATCTTTTTGATGTCAAATGGCAATCTTCAGTAATGGCCAACATTGTTATAATGAGGATCAGAGATCTGAGTATTTACTCCTTCCAACTATACTCTTTCTGGATGAGAAGTGAAAGTCTGCTAACAATATACTCAATTATTCGCTTACCCTTCTTTACATTCAACCTGTGGCAGCTAAGTGTGTAGATACCTGATGGGAGGAAGTAAAAAAGACAAACCCATACTCTTCTCAGTGGTATCTTGTAAAAAGATAATAAGCCATGAACACAGACTGAAACATGGGATTTATGGCTGGAAAAAGTTGCCCAGAAAGATTGTAGGCTCTCCATTGCTGTAGATAACCTGACTGGACTTATTACTGAACAACCTGCTCAGAGTATGGGAGTCGTGGAGGAAAGTAGAGCAGCTGATATTGTTAGATGATTGATAGACAATCTCTAGAGGTCCCTTCCAACTTCAGTGATTCTGTGAAATCACTTTTAAGAACTATGCATCCCATACAATATCCAAAGGCACTAACATGTCTGTGTAAAATGTCATGACTCACATGACTGAAACAATCAGAGAATGTGTCTGACAAGGCAAAATATTATTTTCTGAAACACACTGTGTGAGAATTTAGCTTTCACCTTTTACCTGGTGCCTGAGGTTGTGACTAATCAGTTGGGTACACAGAGAGGAGAGAAGCGTGGTTAAGGTAGTTGTTTGGAAGAAGATTATTGTATTTCTTCTTCTAGCCTATGAGAAGTTTTTAGCAGTTGTCTATTGTTTATAGGAAACAATATACGGGGCCTGTGAAGAAGAAATTCTTGAGCATTCTTCATTTTCCCTGAGCTAACAGTCCTACAGGCTAAATAGACCACATACATTGATTAATTGAAAAATGAGATAGTTAATATTTGCCTTTTGATAGATAAGACTTCTGCTAAACTGACATCTCCATTCCCTATCATACCTTTCAAGGTATCTCAAAAACATAGAAGAGCTACATTTCTCATTCTCAGTATTGACTTGTTGGGGACAAAACACTCATTTCTTGGATAGATACATATAGCTGGGAAAAGCATACAGTTATTATTAATTTGGCTCAAGTCACAATCATGATGTTCAAAACTAGACAGTACATCTACAAATATCTTGCTTTTTTCACTATCTGAAGTTTTATATGTTTTAACTTCGAGCAATAAATGTGTCACTCATCCAGAAGCCTCATCCAGAAGTCTTAGTTGGCACACACTCCATTATACCAAATAATACTAAATAATGAAGAAGAATGTAGACTGATTATTAATGCAAAATGACTTGAAAAATCAAATGAATAGAATGACAAAAATAGATTAAATAATTGTGAGTCTCAGAAAGGATGTTAAAATGTACATCTTACATAAATCAAAAATGAAGTGTATACGACACAGAATGAGTCATCCTGTGAATAATGGGAAGATGAATTCAAATGTTATTTGCCAGTAGTAATAGACGGTACCACTCTGGTTCTGCCAATCTGCTAAATAATAATAATGGACCTAATACAGCTAATACAGGAAGTCCGTAGGAGTTTTGCTTGGCTAAGGAATGTAGCATAGAGCACTAGAAAAGTAATGAATTTAAATAAGAAGCATCTATTGTGTTGGCCCACATTCTAATCCTGCCTCTAGCGAATGAAATGGCAAAGTGTTTATTAGTATCACTGGGAGCAGGGAAGAACCCCCTCTCCTCTGATATGAATTCAGTCTTTTGTTAGCAACAAAGTAAAGTGCAAGATAATCTGCAAATAGCCCATAACATTCTATTTTTGCTCAAAATGTCAAAAACTTTAATGTACATTTTTAGTATTGTCCATGAATGAAGAGCTAAGAAAGCATGTTGTTCTTTTTAGAGTCAGAACATTTTTAATTTTTTATCATACGCCACAGTATACATGAAATTAGTAACAAGTTTATA